TATAGGCCAACATCGCACCAATCCGTACAAATAATCTCAGTAGATGAGGTGCTCCATACACCTGGGACATGGGCGCATCAGGGTGATCTGCAAAGATCTCAGCATACTGTGGTCTCTCAAACTTGTAGAGCAGCTGAGTGCCCAGCATGACGTTGAAGTATTCTTTTATACCTGCCACAGCTTCATTCACAGCGTACTCCTTATTATCGGTATTTCCTCGAGATTTCTTATAATTTGCATAATCCTCCAAAATGGAATCCACATTCTTCTTAGCAGGAAGATAAAAGGGCTGTTTTTGCCTGGTAATTAAGTCCCAGTCATCAACAAGCCATGGTTTTAGTTCTTCGGGAATCTTTACATTAACTTCACCTCTGTTTATAAATGTTTACTCATTTTCAACAGGTAGGGTCTACCCGGGCCCTTTTCTTCCGAGGAGGCCGAGGTGTCTCACTGGTACTGCCGCCATCTCCATTCCCAGGTGTTTTCTGTTTGTTCTTTTTTGTTTTCACTTCATCATTTTTCTGTTGCAGACCAGATGTCTTCTTTCCTGGGGCAGCCCCTCTCATCTTGCCCTCTGCATACTGCTCCTGATTGGCTTTTTGAAGTTCTCGCTGTTTCTGCAGATTGGTGTCCACGTACTTGAGTACTCTGCTCTCTGGAACCCATTCATCCCAATTTTTATTCCAATCACTGTAATGTATAAAATATTTCACTTGCTTATCCTTTATGGAGACTTTTCACACATCTTGCTTCATAAAGAAGTCCCTGAAAGCACAGCACTCTTTCACCCTCCTGAAAGTTAGGCTTCGGATCCTGCTTCGGTGCCATTTATAAGTGATTCGCTGCCTCCTCCTTCTCCCACCACCCCCGACTACCACCCCCTACTCTCTACTCCACCCATCTCTGCGTCAAATCTCAGCAAACATTTTTTGAGAGCCTGCCAAGAACCAAGAATTGTGCTAGTTGTTGAGAATATAAAAATAATGAAATTATACTCGCTGGCCCAGGGAATCCCCATCTAAGCTGGGCTGGCATATGTGGATGTTTGAAGGATGGGACTGTGTGGAAATTCTATATGGCAGTGCGAGGCATAGCCTGGGAGCCTAGATTCTTTGTCATGGCTTCCCTCTGGAAGCAATTATTTCTTTTTCTTTCTTATTAGTATTACTTATTTTAAGTTTATTTATTATTATTTTAATTTGCTATAGGGCATGTGCACTCTCCAGAGAGAAAGTGAGAAAGCCAGCAGGTTTGACCATGTGGCAGTTGGCCTTAGTAGTTGGTCATGCGGTTGTCCAGCACCTTCATCCTCACACCGCCTACTGGCCCTTGGAATCACTTTTTTTTAAAATAATTATTTTATTTATTCATTCATTTTTTAATTTAACCAGAGAGAGACAGACGTTGAGAGTGAGAGAGGAAGTGAGAAAGCAAACCACCAGATTCAGGACTCGAACCCTGGTCAGCCATATGGGAGTGTCCAGTGCCTTAACCACCACGCCACCTGCTGGTCCCTGGAATCACTTTTTCACATAATGCTCCTGAGTTAGCACAGCTGCTCACATTATCAGTGTATCTTAAGCCATGAGGTCCTTGGAAATGGAGATAAAGCACCCAACTCAGCCAGAGCCTTGATAGGCCATGAGCTGAAGATTTGTCAGTGACTTGACGTGTATGGAGAGCAAAAGGCCAGCAAAGAAAGCAGGGCTGGTACGTAAAACCTGTGCAACTAAGACGTTTTACTTGTGGCTTGTTGACTGATGCCTTTCTTATATTTTTTTCAGCTTCAGTTACATATAGACAAACTTCGAGCCTCCATAATAGACGATCTAAATACAAGTAATGTTTTCTACAAGAAAAGGATGGAAGAGCTAGGGCAGAGGCTGCAGGAGAAGAATGAGCTGATAATTACTCAGAGACGGCAGGTATGTGTGGCCACAGCTTGATGCCAAGTTCTCCTTTAAGCAGCGTGATTGATCTAAGAATGCACACAAGCTTTTTAGTGCAGAGCATTTATAAGTTATAGAAGGGAAAGAAGATAGAATCCTTTCCCCATGTGATTGCTTGTCAAAGTCAATGCAATAAATTTTTTTTTTTTCGGAGAGGTTTTTGCTACAGGGCACGTGCACTCGCCCAACAGAGAGAGAAAGCGAGAAATCACCCCCTGGGGGGATGGCCATGCCGCAATCCCTTCTCCTCCATTCTTCTCTCAGAATCTTGGGCATGCACGCACACACGCCCGGCGTGAGTTTTAAGCCACTGGGTCCAGGACTCGAACGGTGGTTGACCACATGGCAATCCAGCAACTTAGCCATTACGCTAACTGCTGGTCCCAAAAATATTTTTAGAAAAGGTATTTAAAAATACTGTAGAGCAGATGTATTTAGTTAGAATTTAGAACAAATCTAAAGACAGATAAGAATTTCTTTGGTTAATTACTTTGAGAAGCAGTCAAATTCAAATGCTTTCATAAAACTATTGCCTCTGTACTTTTAAAGTCCATGTGTGTAAAGGTTAATTTACTAACAACCATGTCTGTTCATTAAATAGTATGTCCCTATCTAGTTTCAAACAAGCATCTTTAGGACTATCTTTCTTTGCAGATTAAAGAATTTACCAGTAAACCAGTAAATGGTGTCGGTGAACCCAAAGGTGAGTGTACAGGACCCCAGTGCAGAGGCAAGCAGGCCTCTCTTACTACCTGCACTCGGCATTGGGAGAGCGTGGGCCCTGCTGGTTGGTGTGTGCTGAGATGACATTCCCCTTGTTGATACAGGAGATCTGTCCTCAGTTATTTAATTTGGGAGAACTGTTACCACAGTTCTAGAGCTAGAAAGTTGAAAAAAAAAAAAAGTAAAAATCAAAACGATCATTTAATGGTCTGAATCCTTTTAATCAGGATGCTATTGGGCACATAATACCTGCTCAGTAACCATCTCTTGATTTATATACTATAGGACAGAGCTATGATTACCAGCACAGAGTCTGGAAACAGTCTGGGTTCAAATCCTACCTCTGGCACTTCGTACCTTTGTGTGCATGTCTGCCTCAGTTTCCTTAGCTCTAACAGGAAATATGGACTCTAAACTATACCATAGGCTCATTATAATGCTTCAGTGGGATAATGCACGTGAAGTGCAACTATTAAGCATTCACTGGTGTTCACTATTATTATTAAACTCTTAATCATTTTGAAATACGACGTTGGCTCAGTTGTGGTAGTTTGGGGGTTAGAGGTCTATTCTAAGTATGGCGAGGGTACACAGAACCTACTGACGGTAGCAGTGACAGCCCGCTCATCTCTGCATCGCTCAAGAGCTAGACCAGAGGAAGACTGAGAGCCACAGTGCTTAGTCTCACAGTAAGGCCTGAACACTCGCCTTCTGCCTGGTCTCTCTCCCAGCGAACTTCTTTTTGAATAGCAAAAGTTTAGGTATGAAGGGATACTTATATGATTACTTAGAGATTATAAATGTTTGACTGTAAAGTAGTCTTAGCAAAAATGGAGTTTTAAAAGCATGTAGGTTAAGCATTTACTCGATTGGGTGAAGTGCTATGTCTTGGCAAATTGCATTTATTAATTTTCAGGGGAAGGAAAAATTAGGATAAAGGCTAACAAAATTGAATCCATACCTTGTGATTTCTGTTAACTTATGTTTTTGTCATTTAGGGAATCCTTCAGCCTGGCAGGCTTTTGAATCTAAGCCAGCTGCCCCAGTTGTACCCAGTAAGTTTCTATAATAAGTTCAAGGTTCTAAAGGCATATTTAAACAGCTAAAGCAAAACGTAACTTTTACTTATTTATTATTTTTAGATACTTTTCTTTGAAAACCAATGTGTTTAGAGAGAACATAATTATTTTGATTCTTGGTTTTGACCTACTTCCAAAGCCCAAGATTGCAAATATCCGCCAGACTTTTGTGCTGATTTTAGTTAGCCATACCCATTATTTTGCAGTTTGTCTGGTAAAAGGATGACTGGAAATTCTTTGGCCTCAATCCAGTTTAGACTGCAGCCTTTGAACATGTGTGTTCTTTCTGTCCACTCTCCTGGTCAGCTCAGCCCACTTTCCATCTCCCAGAGCTGTCAAAATTCAGTAGTAAATCAAAGACATAACCTTTATGGAGTAAGACTGACAGATTGTTTTGTTTTATTTTTCATGTTAGAGAATGTTTGTGCATGCATACAAGAGAAAGGGAAAAGGATCCTTGATAGGGTCCCATGATGTGGTGACCCCCTTCTTTCCTGAGCCCTCCAGCTCCTCAAGATCTTGTGTGCCTGTGCAAGCACCTATATGTTTTCAGGTCAACCTAGGAACCCAAACCCATGGTCAGCCATGTGGTTTCCAGCACTGTAGTACAGAATGCTACAGACTGTGCCATCTAGCCCAGGCTACAGATTTTTTTTTTTTTTTTTAAGTAATAGCTTCATGGGCTAGGTGGTCTCAGAAAAGACAAATTCGTAGGGACAGAAAGTATTAATAGAATAATTGTTGCTGGAGGCTGGAGAGGCGAGGAGAATAAAGCATGACAGCTCATGGGTTTGGGTATTTCTGGGCGGTAATTATGAAAGTGTTCGAAGATTAGATAGTATGGTTGCACAGCTCTGTGAATATACTAAAAACCACTGAACCATAAGTTTTCAGAGAGTGAATTTTGGTATCTCAATAAAGCTGTTAAAAATATTGGTTCAGGTTAGTTGTATAATATCTTCATCATTTAAAAATGTGTCCTTTATGCTCTGTATGTATCTTGACAATTTGAGGAGTATTTGGTTAGTGTTCTTTTCAGATGCTTACATTTTTATTATGAAACTTGTATTTCCCTTTTCGTGTATTTCAGCCAGCGCCCCAGTCCCACAGTCTTTGGAAGCTAAATCATGTCTAACGATGGCACACGGTAAGTTTCTCTAATAGTCTGAGTGTTTTATGTGCAGTTTCCACCGAGTTAGATAACTTATTAACTTAAAGTGCTTCTGTGGGTGTAATTATGCAAAATAAAACATTTTAATGATTGCAAAACAGTTATTAAAACCGCAATCTTGATATGTAATATTATTGTAAGCCGAATACCTACCAAAGTCATAATTGTGTATGGTGCCAAACCCAAAGATAGAGATTTTAACTTGACAGGGTCCTTTACTAATGATTTTTGTGGAAAGGAGTAGGCACTGGGTCAGAATGAGAGTGACCTGCTACTAGAGCAGCCAAGCAGCTCATGCCGCTGGGCATATGTGGTTGTTGTTATAACTTTCAGGGTAGCAGCAAGTCACCTTCTGAAAACAAACAGTTTTAACGATTGGCTGGGAAAAACTAGAAAAAGAAAGAAGTGATAGGAACCACAAGAAGTAAGTAGGAACCACTGGATGAAATCGCTGCCAGGATTTGGCTGTTGGATCAGACCAGGGGGATGTTATCAACATGATCCAGTAGATAGAGTGCGTATTTGTAGCCACACTTCACTCTTCATGCTTACAGTTTTTAGAGAAAACTTTCCTATGGTCTGCTGTATATTCTGAAGGAAATAAGATGGGAGGAGGGCCATCTATGTCCTGTCTTATCTACAAATGCTCTGGAATATTACAATTATGTTTTTCCACTTTTGTTCTGGCATTTTAAAGGATTAGACTTAAACCCATGGTCTAACTGGTCAGTGTAGTGGGGCTTTTTGTCTTCAGAAGTGTTATGGTCTATACATGACGGTTTCGAGTCATGATTCTTTCTACTATGGCTGGCTCATGAAGTGGTTATTGCACCTCATTGTTTTCCCCTAAGATGATTTCAAGTGGATCAGTTGTTTTGAGAATGTCATCGCAATATGCAATGTATAAATTCTCCATATATTGGCTCTTATTATCTACAAATTCTAGGACATGTGGGAGTTTTCTCTTTGGACCAGTCACACATAAAACGTGTGTTGGATATGTATACGTTCACTTTAATGTTGAATACACGAGAAAATTACCTCTGGCAATCAGTCTCTATTCATTTTATATCAGGTCTCAAATCTCACTGTTGCCTCCATTTTTTAGATTTGATTTCTTTTCTCTTTTTAAAATGTTTATTTATTTCTTCCGTGAGTGAATAAGTCAGAGAGAGGAGAGAAAGAGAAGCACTTCTGACAAGAACCTCATGCCTCGATCCACCCCCAGCCAACCCCAGATCATGGGCAAACATGTGCCTGCTGTGTTCAGGGAGGTCTCTGGACACGAACCTGGGACCTTCCCATGTGATTAGCCTTGCAGAGCATTGTGCTACTGGTGCACCATTCTCTGGCCCCTAGTGTTGTTTATGTAAGGCATTACTGGCTATTTCTCTTTTATATTCATCAGTGTGTTTTAATTTCTTTCACTTTATCTCTTCTGCTTTGTTTTTGTTAGCCTTCCGAATGACATTGCACAAGGTCCAGATATTTTTTGTTGTGTGTTTTTGTTGATCACAAAGATACATTGAGTAGATGTGTTAAGCTGTCTGGGTTAATTTGAGGGTCCTAACGCGTCTGTATGTTTAATGCACATGTTCCATGTAGACCCTGCCCCGGTTGTCTCAGGACTGTGTGCCTGAGCCACGCCCCCCTCCTGGAATCTGCTGGGATTGAAATGCTCGTTTTAAATGCCAACCAGACCTGGCAAAGGGCCCCCAGCCCTTGGATTGGGATCAAAGCTGATTTGTGAGCTTCTCAATGGGCAGGAGCTAGGAGAGCTGGCCAGGGCTCACTGACCTCCCCCACGCCCCCACCTCCAGCCATGGCAACTTCCCCAGTGTGGCGGGGACAGGGGAGGTCAGTCATGTATTGCAGAATGTTAATTAGCCCATTTACCCTCCATCTTTTGTTCCACTTCAAAGCTTGATGAGGTTCCTTGCCATCAAAAATATCATCATGATTACTCACCGTCTTAGGTTGGGTTCCCAGGGAAACAGTCCGAGGTGGAGATTTACAGGTGGGAGGTTTCCTGGGGAGGAGGACCCTCGGACAACACTGAGAGGAGCAGGACTGGGCAAAGGTGACATAGGGCCCAGATGCAGCCTTGGCAAAGGGCTCAGCAGATCCCACGTTAGAGCTGTCAAGCTAAATGGGCACTCCAGAACTGTCCTCCTCTGAAATAAGGGACAGGTCACCGATCCCCAGTTCAGGGGTCTGTTATCAGGGATGAACTGCCCAAGGAGAAGGTGGGCTGTTCTCTTCAGCCAGGGACATTCATGGAAGGGACTCCACTGCAATTGTCATGAGCCAACATTGCCAGCATTTCTGTCCGGGATGGGGTCTGCTAAGAATGGGAACTCCCCAGTGACTGACTTTGCCACACAAGCTGACCGAGACAGGCAGCAAGTTCCCATTCTACAGCAGCCGGTGAGATGGATTCTGGAGCAAAGAAAGGATCGTGCTTGATTGCCATTCACTACTGCAAGTTTTTCCTGGTTAAAAATATCAGAGAAGTTTTTGTTTTCACCACCAGAAAGCACGTCGCTCATGGAGCTGTGGCTAAAGTATAATTTGTTGTTAAATTGATACACCAATTGCTCAGGTTGCCTGGCCCAATAGCATGGCCCTCTTTGAGAATGGCCAGGCCAAGCGTCCCTCTTCTTTTAGCAGTGAGGAGACAAAATAATCACTTTTTCCAAAGTTCTTCCTACCTGTAAAGAGCTCCTTTAATTTGATCTATAAATTGTGAGGAGTTTATGGATGCCTGACTCTGTATTGCTAGAACAAAGACCATAAACACCAGAAATTAAAAATGGGAAAGTTTTCCTAAAACTTAAATATGTCATAATTGATTTTTAAAGGCAGAGGCATTTATATTAGGCCATATAATTATATTTATATTTTATTCCCAGAGTAAATATTTTATATCTGGGGATACACTAAACACAGCACTTGAATTCAAGCAATAGTTTGTTATCTAAGAGCTGGCAGGTGGTGTATTCTAGAGTTTTGGTGTGTGGCTCTTCGTGGGAAGAAAGGTGGCCAACCCTCTGAGTATTAATGGCTGAGATGGTATTGCAGAAATGGGATGGGACTATTGAAAGGAAGTCTGCAGTGGGACTGGAGCCTCTGAAAGAATGGGTTTGATCAGGTGGCATGCCCACATGTAGTCCCGGGAAACATTTGGATGTGGCTGATGTCCTAACTTTACATCCTAGAAGTGTTCAGGAGAGTCTTTAGTGAACTCTTGTCCCTTCGAGAAGAGTTTAATATGACAGTTGTGATTGTGGCATTTCTCCAGCAATGTCCTGTCTGCCTTCCTTTATGGACCACTAGACAGTGACAGATAGTTTCGTGCAAGGCCTAGCCTCGGCATAGCAGAGACACAAATGAATCCGAACAGTCTTCCCCCAAGGAGTACTGGAGTCTACAAAGGAGTCCAAAGGCTTATAATTATGGTGCTGGCAAGGGAGAGATTTTCTCCATGTGAGGGACTCTGGGAAGACTTGAGCAGCTGACATTTGGCCATTCAAGTTGAGTCAGAAGCGTGTCAGGTGGCATCCTAGCAAAGCAAACAGTAGAAGAATAGGTAGCAGAAAATTATTCAATGTGAATTAGCCATGCCAATGAATTACATGGCCAACCACAGGGGGATGCAGAAGATACTTCAGGGAAAGAAGGTTGGGTGAGACTATTGGTGGCAGCCATTGAATGCTAGACTACAGCTGCCTGTTGTCCTTTGTGCAGTGTGTAACTGCTGAATGTTCTTTAGGCTAGACATAGCAGAATTGGAGAGCTGAGCCACAGAAGCATGGCCTGACCAGAGCATGTTCCAAGAAACAGAGCATAGGCAAACAGATGTGGGCATCTTGCAGGGAAGTTCCAATCTCCCTCCCCACTGAGGAATCAGGTTGCGGTGGTGAGTCTGAGAAGAGATGGTAAACACAGCAAATGTTTGGTGGAATTGGCTGAAAGACTGAGAAGCAATTGGACCCAGGGCTAAGGAAGAGTCAAAAATAGTCAAAAAGTGTACTCCAGTGGTGGGTGAGCAGTGGTGCCATTGGAGAAGCGAGGAAGATGAGCCCAGCTAGCACCAGTAGGGAGGCCTTTTAGCTCTGTGACCAAGAGCCTGGTCTTTGGAAACAGACAGCTGCATCCACGGCTGTCTCATGAAATTAGGGGCTTTGGTTTCTGTGCCTGCCAGAAGGGGAGAATAGCACTGGCTACCTCGGTGGCCTGTTGTGAGGACCGAATGAGTTACCAGCCAATGAGTAAGCACTAGGTAAGTGTCAGCTTCTAGGGCAGAGATGATGACGTGCAGCAGAAAAGCAACCAGAGGGAGAAAGGGCAAGGCTGACTAGCAGCCTGGGAGCCTTTCTAACGGAGGTAATGGTAGGAGATCGACCAGGATTTTTCTGGAAGCCTCTGGCCAGTTCAAGGGAGCCTTAATTCTTTGAGTGTTTCAGCTCTCACCCTGGAGCTCTCAGCTCAGGACAAGAACTGGAATGTTTGGAGGCTAGACCTAAAATTCACAAAGCATGAGAATGTCAGGCCTCTCTCTCCCCATCCAGTACATCGCCTGCCTGTCTGGGGAATTGGGTTTGGACAGCCTCACTTCCCCAGCCCTTGTTACAGGGATCTACCCTTCCCCCAGAACTCCTCCTCTGCACCACTAATGAGAAGTGATCAGAATTTTAGCAGTTTCTCCTGCCTCTAGAAAAACAGGTCATAGTAATATCCCTGCAATGCAGTGCTAAGAAATGTGTGTGCGGCAATTTCAGGAAGATGTTATCAAAGTTTTCTCCATACTCTTATTTTTGTCATTGTCACAAAGTACAGTAAAATTCAAACTGTATGACTTTAAACACTGACATTAGTTGTCTTCCTCAGAGCTCTGTCTTCTGCAGTCCATACTAGGAAAGCAGCTGCTTTGTGTGATTTTAAAATCCCAGTGCTGAATAGCAAATGTGAAAAGGCAGTTCTCGTGTTCCAGGTTGTGGTTCCTAGAGGGGTTGAAATGCTCCATCATGGGACTGTGTCTACGTTTCGAACTCACAGTGGTCGCCTACCTGATGGTAGATGGTGTTCTGAAAGTGCGTTTGAAGTAGTTTGAAATGCATTTCTCCCGTATGGCCGATGTTAGGTATGCTGTGTTGTGGCCACGCTATGAAAGCCTGTTTAGGTATACCTGAGTACATCTATGTCTATGTCTCAATCATCTCTCCATCTGTCTGTCTATCATCTGTCTGAGTAGAATCCCAGAAAGACTCTTTTTTTTTTTTAAAGGATTTTGTCATAGGTTGTATGTGCTTGCCAGAGAGAGACAAAGACAGTGAGGGAAAGAAAGAAATCACCTCCCACCTCATGGGGGATGGCCACTGCACAAATCCTTCCCCATTCTGTCAGGATTATGAGCACTCAGTCACATGCACCTGGCGTGATTTTCAAGCTGCCAGGTCCATGACTCCAACCATGGTCAGCCATGTGGGAGAGGGCCTTAACCACTGCCCCCAGAAATAGCCCTTAGTAAACTAAAAACCAGACCTTTAAATGGGGAGGTATTAAACCTAAGATACTTAGGCAGCCCTAAGATCCATGCTTGGCCACCTGGTGACCACTCAATTGGTACCCTGGCCCACCGCCCGCTGGTGGTAGAATAAATGGCTTCTGCCTTTGGGAGTGAAGGTGGAGAATGAGGTGGGGAGGAGGCTTGCGTTGGTCTCCACACTGAGGGTGAGTGAGTCGTGCACCATGCGAGCCAGACCAGCTGAGTTTGCATTCTTCCATGACTGTCCCTGACCACCACTGTCAAACTTTCAGACCAAACCTGACCTTCCCCCGTGAATGACTGTTCCCTCCAGCAATAGGATGGGGTTTGATTTTATTCATGTTGCCAGTGAGTTTTCTTGTATATACATGTAACATCTCCCTGGGGAAAGTCACCCAAGGACCTCATCTCCCCTGAACACAGTTGCTGTTCTGGAGGGAGATTTAGAAGAGCCTTTCTCTGTCTGTGCACCTGTGGGGTCAGGCCTTCTGCAGCCCAAGGTCATGCCCTGGTGGCTCTCCAGAAGCAGCACAAGATCTTGGAATGCTATTGGTGGTTGCAGAGGCATCTAAGTATGGCCTTTGTGTTACTGCTGACCTGTCACCCTGTTCTTACCCTGAGCCTACTTGGTCCTGTGTCTTGAAGTCGAAGGATTAGTTTTGAGGCAGACGGGAAGTGAGAACCCCAGGGCCTTTTGATTTTTTTTCCCCTGCAATTGAGATCACTTCACCGATTTTCTATTGAGTCACCTGATCAAAATATTTTATAAGTGAAAAGACTTTTGTGACCTTACGTCATAAAAGATTCAAAGTTGATGAGTGAAACACTGTAATTATTTAAAAATAGAATTTCCTTAAGAGCGGGGCTAATGGCAAATACATAGAAAAGAGCATGGAAAAGTAACCACATGTAAGCAACGGCTTCAGTATTTTTCCCTAAATTCTTGCTATTTAGGAATGATTAAAACACCATGGAATCATATCTTTCAAAATTGTCTGAAAGGAAACTAATTTCACTTTGCTGTTGCCCTGTTTGTCCTCTTCTTATTTTTCCTCATTACTAGACCAGGCATTCCCGTCGCACATACTGGAACCAATAGAAGAACTTTCAGAGGAAGAAAAAGGTAACAAAGGTCTTGATCAGGGTTTTCCCGCACAGATCATCCCTCTATGCTAAAACCCAAGCCTTTGAACTAGGAGCCTTTGATTTAAATCATACTGTACCAAACTCAGGAAAGACATTTAGGTTTGACATTTAGACATGTAGGTTGCATTTTCAACCGATATAAAGTATTGTATTGTCTTATTCCCCTAATGCTCGGTTGTATGTACCCCTGTTCAGTATAATCTTATGCAAGCAGACGTATGAGACATTTCCTGTGTCAGGGAACTTGGGGAAAAAATGTTAAATCAGATTTTTCTGATCAGATGACAAGTGGACGGACATTCATGCATTGTATATCAGATGATATGAAGATATTGGTTTCACATACCCAGAATCTGAAATGAATGTGTAAAGTGCCATTTCTTTTCTTTTTTTTTTTTTCTTTTTTTGCTATAGGGAACATGTGCTTGCTGGAGAGAGACAGAGAGAGAGGGAAAATAAGAAATCACCTCCCCCGGGGGGGGAGGATGACCATGCTGCAATCCCTTCTTCATTATTCTCTCAAAATTTTGGCCATGCATGCACACATGCCCAGTGTGATTTTCAAGTTACAGGGTCTGGGACTCAAAGCATGGTATTGGCAATCTGGGATCTAGCCGCCTTAACCTCCAAGTCACCTGTTTGCCCTCCAAATTATTATTTTTTCAAGAATTATTTTATTTAACTTTATTTATTTGTTTTTAATTTGACCAGAGAGGGACAGAGTGAGAGAGAGAGAGAGAAAGTGAGAAAGCAAGCCGCCAGATCCGAGACTTGAACCATGGTCAACCATGTGGGAGTCCAGTGCCCTTAACCACCACACCACCTGCTGGCCCCTCCAAATTATCTTGAATAGCAAGAAAAAGCATGATGTCTAAGCTCTGGATGTGGAATATTTATATGTAAAATAATATCTTCATGGAGAAATTGGGGAACTGTTACAAGTTTGGAGAGATAATGAACACTATTAGGTTTACTCGTTTATTTGACAATTCTAAAATTATTTCCTATCAATTTCAGAATTTTATTAAAAACTTTCTTATTATTATAAGGAGTATTTTCTAATGCTGGACTTGGATCCTGAAAACAATTATATTTGAATCAGTTCATCATAATTTTTTTCCTTATTAATTACAATATTTTACCATATATCTATATCAATTCTTTTTAAAAATATTTATTTATTTAATTGCATTTGTTCTTCTTCTTATTATTTTTTAATTTGACCAGAGAGAGAGAAAGGGAAAGTGAAAAAGCAAGTCACCAGGTCCAGGACTTGAACCACGGTCGGCTATGTGGGAGTCCAGAGTCTTTAACCACCACACCACATGCCACCTGCCAGCCCTTCTTTCTTTTTTTTAAAGAGATTTTTTTGCTGTAGGGTGCAAGTGCTCCCTGGAGATACAAAGTGAGACAGAAAGCAATAAATCACCCTTCAAGAGGGATGGCCATGCCACAATCCCTTCCCTTCCATTCTCCTGCATACCTGCCCCATGTGAGTTTTAAGCTGCCAGATTCAAGACTAGAACTGCCATTGACAATGTGGGAGTCAAGCGACATAAGCATTACACCATCTGCTGGTCCCTCTATTCGAGATCTTTAGAAGAAAGCAATTTGTTAATGCTTAATGTTCTAATTTTTGGCATAAAAAGAAGTAAAATTTATATTCTAATATATAAACTCTAAATACTGTAACTCTAAATCTTATAACTAGATTTTTACCACTTTTTAAAACAAGGCTACAAATTGAGAATTGACTAAATCAGGCATATAATAGCTACATAATGTATATTTTTAAGTCTTTGTCTTGTAATATTACTTATTATACTTCTTAAATATTTTTCATGGGGTTTGTTTATTTTGCTTTCATGCATCTTTACAGTTTGTCTTACTTTCTATATATTACATAGACTATTTAGTTTAAGATTTTCTGTTTTCCTATCCAGGTGATTGTTCATAGTTGTCACTGATTTTGAAAAGTATTATGTTAGCTGCTTCATCTTTCTTATTTCTTTATAACTGCACTTCCAATATGTTTAGAAACATGTTTCAGAAACATGAGTGTAGCTACATTAAATTACAATAAAGGGGCCAGTAGGTGGCATGGTGGCTAAGGCACTGGACTCCCACATGGCCGACTGTGGTTTGATTCCCAGACCTAGTGTCTTGCTTTCTCACTTTCCCTCTGTGTGTGTGTGTCTCTTTCTGGTGAGGGCACATGCCCTGTAGCAAATTAAAAAATAATAATAAATAAAACGAAATAATTCTTTAAAAATAAACAATACGGATATACTAGGTTGTTGAGGGAAATATAGTATTCTGATGAACATAAGGCTGAAGTGTATTGTCGCCCTCTCTTAAGATGCTTAGCCTTGTTCTATTATCCTTGTTCCATTATCAAAGAAAGAATGAGAAGTTGGTTTGGTCATTAGCAATTGGGGGGGGGCTTCAAAAAGTTCATGGAAAAATAGAATTAAAGTATGAGTATATTTTGGTGTTCCTACAAGAGTTGAAATCCATGTGCAGCTTTTTGTAATAATGGCTTTTCTTTTTTATTACAAAATAGAATGGGAGGAGAAAGCAACCCCAAGTAAAGTGTGCAATCCTTTCTCCCATCAGAAGTTTGGGCACACATACACTCAGGAGGCATGTTTTTTCAAGCCTCTGGGACCAAGATTTGAACCATGGTTGGCCATGTAGGATCTGGCTCCCAATGCACAGCACTTACTTAACCGCTGCACCACAGGGCCAGCCCCACAATAAGCATTTTCCAGGAACTTTTTGATGCTCCTCATACTTCCAGTAGCCTTAACCAGGGCTGCCACCAGCTGAGGCATCAAATGGATGCCCGCAGGCTAAACCCATTCCACAGCCCCTGATGTGTTCAAGCTCCGTGATAGCGCCTGTTTTACAATGGGTTGCCAATATTTGAAAATCAGAACACTTCACATGAATATCCTAATTTCTGATGTCTCTTAAAAAACCGTAAACCCTGGACATTCGGTCCACCTCCCCATAGCTAGCAAGGCTAAGCAGCTGTCGGGCCTCCCCCAAGCTCCTCAGGGGTGGTAATCCCCCCTCTTTTGTGCCACACTGCCTTCTTTGTTTTATGGAGGCAAATGAGTTTATGAGCCTTATAGATGAAGAGAAATAGTGCTTAAAAATATTGTCCTTGAGAGGGCTGACAGGTTGTGTGGTGGTTAAGGACGCTGGACTCCCACATGTCCGACCACGGTTCAAGTCCTAGACCTGGCAGCTTACTTTCTCTGTCTCTCTCTCTCTCTCTCCCTCTCCCTCTCCCTCTCTCTCTCTGTCTCATTCTGTCCCTCTCTGGTGAAATTAAAATAAATAACGT